ACAAAAATCATTCAATGATACCCAATATCATGTGAAATTGATAAAAAAAATTATACTCAACCTTACACAATATTATATTTATAACTCTCTAAGCAAATTTTAATAAATAATTTATTAAAAATAAAACATTTTCACCGTTTAGAACTTAATTATTAATAAGAAAAAACCGTTTGTGTTTAAATAGGTGGAAGTTATGTAAGATGGTGGAAAGATGAAACTTTGTTATACGATTCAAACAACTTACCAATTTCGATTCAATCAAAATATAAAATATTAAAAGATGGTTTGTCGATAGAAACTGTTAAACCAGAAGATTCAGGAGATTATAGTTGTGAAATTGTCAGACCACAACCATGGTCACCACTTAAACTTACTCAAAACGTACAAATTTTATGTAAGTTTCATAAACGAAAACAATAACAAATCAATCGATTTCGCGCCAACAAAAATCAAGTTGGTAACATTGAAAAATTTAATAATTTTAATTTTATCCTACTTGATTCCACTTTCAACGTTTTTGTTACTATATAAAAATTTTATTCGTTTTTGAAAATGAAAATTGTGTAATTTTTACGATCGTAAAAAAAATAAATAAAAAAATTAAACCCTAATACGAATAAATTACATAAAATTATTAATAACAAGGATAAAAAAATTCCCCATTATTTTATTTTTATTAATTTACCTTCTTTTTTTCTCTTTTTTTATTTTAACGACTTTACGCGAATTATTAATTTTTAATCAAAGCTGCAAAAAAAAAAAAACGACGCAAAATTATTTATTTTTATAAATTATATATATTATTTGTCACTATCATTGAATCATACCCGTTTAACGTGCCAAAAAAAAAAAAAAAAATATTTATTCGGTTCGATGATTGAAATAAATATTAAATAACTATATTATGATGTTAATTGCATTTTAATGACTTTAATAAAAAAAAAAAAAAAATTTATGAATGTGATTAAAATATAAAATCATAATCATTCAATGATGTGTATAACCTATTATTATTATCATAAATTTTTTTTACTGATCTTAAACGAATCTTACAAAAAAAAAAGACAAAATTTCGATAGGAAACTTATAAGAAATTGCATTTTATTTAAATAACGTACGTAACGTAAAGTAATAATAATAATAATAAAATTTACTTTTTAAAAAATTTTCGACTAGTGAGAAAATTAACGGTGGGTTGAAAGGAATCAAATAACCCTGTCAATAATAATAAAAAAAAAAAAAAAAAACTTCTGACTCATTATCCATGGCAGATGGTTATTTTTTTTTTTTTTTTTTAACCAACCCCTTTTACGTTTTTTTTTTTTAAAGGGAGTCGTTTGTTTTTTTTTTTTTTTATAGATCCGCCAAAAATACAAATAAACCCCCCGAATGGTTATATTGAAGTTGTTTTAGGTGAAAAAGTATTAATTGGATGTACGGCAACTGGTATGCCCCCCCCCATAATAACCTGGCGAGCTAAGGTAAAAAAAAAAAAATTTTCCGTTAAATTTGTCACGTTTTAACAACACTCACTCATATATTTTGGAAATTTTTCTTTTTTTTTTATCGATTCTGAGTAATGAACGATTGCATTTTAAAAAAAAATTAATTTTTCCTTTTGACTAAAAAAATATTATTATTATTTATTATGCGAAAATTTATGATTCATATCCCCATTTAATAAATTTTTCCTTTTTTTTTTTTTACCAAAACCTATACGAAAATATTTATTCTATTTTTAAAGCGAGAATCATTTGTTAGATTAGGTTTTTCACTTAATTTTTAACCTCCTTTTTTTTATATACACAATTTTAAGAATTGCTGTACACTAAGAAAATATTTTCAGTATTAGAAATAATCACCGTTAACCTCTTATCACTTTTACGTTGATAATTTTTTTTTTTTTTTGTTTTTTTTTTAGGATTTATTAATGGATTCCGTAAAAGTAGAAAATATGGAAAAATTAGAATTTACAGCATCCGATCGTTTCCTTTCTGGTATTTATCAATGCGAAGCAAATAATGGTATCGGTTCACCCATTCATAAAAACATAATATTGAAAATATTACGTATGCAATTAATTAATTAATAACATTTTATTATGTAATTCATAAAAAAAAAAAATGAAAAAAATGAAAAAAAAAAAATGCACGCATGATAATTTACAGATAAACCGGAAGTTGAAACGGAAAAAACGTGGATTAATACGGCACCTGGTATAAAAACAATATTAACGTGTCGCGTTGAAGCGGAACCCGATTCGCAAATAGAATGGTTTTTCAATGGCGAAACCTTAAAAGGTTCCTCCCCCCAAATCATACGTAAAACAAACGGAAAAGAATATTATCTTATATTTAATCCTTTTACACATTCCGATTTTGGTAATTATACTTGCCGAGCGAGTAATAAATTGGGAACGGATGAACGTCTTATTGTTTTATCAGGTGACTATTTTTTTTTATTTACTTAACGCAAGATTATTCAATTCGTGATTTACGTTTACAAAAAAAAAAAAAAAAAAAAAAATTCATAGAAAAATTTAAATTATTATTATTACAAATTGATTTTTATCAAATGAATGACTGAATGACTGACTGATTGATGATAAAAAAAAAAAAATGCAAAAGATTATTGTGGTTGGGTTTATTTATTATGACTCTCGATTCCGGTATTTCTGAATCACGAGTTTAAACCTGGAAATCCAATTAGGAATGCATCAATCAATCAATCAATCAATCAATCAATCGTGTTACTTCATTTTTTTTTTTTTTAGGTATTGCAAGTCCGGCCGTCGTTAGAGAAACGCAAAAAAAACCACCCGATAGTTTTACGTTGATTTGGGAAGCGGAAAGTTTTTCGCCGATTTTCGAATATAAAATACTTTTTCGTAAAGAAAATAATTTACCTTGGATAAGTTTTATCATACCCGCGGATAGTCTTTCCTCCGTTCCGCTTCATACGAAGTCGTATACACTAAACGGCCTTGACAGATTATCACTTTATGAAGTCAAAATATTTTCTAGAATCGTTTCGGTTGGAGTTTTCCTTCGGAGGTCATTAAATTCGGTTTTACAAATTTTCATCTTTCGGAAGGTAAAAAAATAAAAAAATTTTATTAATTAATTTTAAAAAATTGAGCTTTTATTTTTTAATTTTTATTAGGGGAAGATAACAATATAAGTGCCTTACACGTTTCCCAGACGTCACGTGCGACACGAGGGATGATCTCAAATTTTATCATCGTTTATTTTATCACGATGATTAAATTTTTCCCGAGTATTTGTGATATTTTTTAAATTGACCGTATAAACTCGTGAAAACTTGTTGATAACCAGGTTTCAAAACTCTCAAAAGATAAGAAACAGTGTAAGAGTCAGACATATTTAAAAGATGATTTAAACAATTCACGAGATGAATCTGGAAAAAAATGAAAAATGAAAAATTATAAATTTTTTTTTACATAAAAATAAATTTAAAGAATTTTTAAAAAAATTTTCGATTGGTTGTTGATTGTTTTAATATGAAAATAAAGATAATTAACGACCCTTTTAACGAAAGAAAATTTAATAATTTATTTTTTTTACCTTAATCGGTGCGAGAACGGTGACGGTTGTTATGCAAGATATTATGGCCGCTATAAAATAAGACGTGATTCTAGCAAAATCTTTTTTTGTTTTATTCATAAAACCCACCCATCTGTAAAAAAAAAAAAAACACAAGAAAAGTAATTACGCCGCCATGAATTTTGTTAACAAAAAAAAAAAAAAAAAAAAAATTGTAATTATTTTATTTTTATTACTTTTCCAATGCATAAGCGCATCCTGATAAATAAGTAATATCATCGGTCGATGTTGGCAATGAAGAATCACTTCTTTTCGTCAATTCATTACACATTTGTTTAAACAAAGCGAAAAATATATGAATTTTACATTTGCTCCATTCAAAATGATTTAAAAGTAACGATATAACTCCTTCTATTTCCTTTGTGAATAAACCGTGAAAATCTTTATTAGTCAGAGTAAAATCGTGAATGCATTCGAGCATCACATCTGATATCGTATTTAACATTTGCGTTGTCAGAACAACCTGGAAAAAAAAAAAAAAAAAAAAAAAAAAAAACGAAGGGAAAATAAAAATAATGTGCAAAACGAACTTAAAACGTTAATTAATTTAACTTTTTTCCCCCTTTTTTTGCATACTTTTTTATTCGAGAGAAAGTAACAGAATAAATTTAATAAAAATTGTTTTCTCTCAGGTGAAAATTGAATCCAATTTAATTCATATTCTCTAATAAATTCAAAAAAATTTTCTATGGAAATTTGAATTTTTTTTTTCCTATCATCCGAATTCGAATTGAAAACAAAAGATTTCCAAATGGAAAAATAATTTAATGATGATGATGATGATGATGATTTTAAATATTCCTAAAACAAGAAAAAAAATTCATTTTAATTATAAAAAAACAAAACAATTATGGATTCGATAATGAAAATATGACCGACTTTTGTTTCGTTAATTAAATCTTTCAAAATATAATCAAATTCCATCTCGTTGCTATTTAATGCAAATATTTTCCAATCTGTTTTTTCATAATTTTTAAATGCAGACCACATTTCGTATAAACTATTTTCCGGTAAATGTTTTCTAATTTTCGGATATAATGTACATAAAGTCAACAAAAACGATGCTGCTTCTTCGTCTTTTTCGTCATTTTTTAATTTTTCCACCTGAAATTTGACACAAATTCAGACATAAATGAAAAAATCCCGAGATGATTAATAAATTTTTGTAATATTAATAATTAATGATATATATATATTCTCACCGCAAAATTAAAATATTCTTTGAATTTATCATTTAATATTTTTGAATAATTCATTTTCGAACCGTTATTTATTAATTGTATTTTTAATATTTTAAAAAATAATTGATGATAATTTTTATCGTGTAAAATCGTATCGTTCAAATTCATTCCTTCCGCATCAATTATTTTAGCTATTTTCGATGAACAAGAATTTATTTTAGAATTTGATTTTCTTTTTTTTCCTTTAACTGAAAACTTTAATTTAAACAAAATAAATTATAACAATTTAATCGAGGAAAATTCTTTTTATTAAATATTATAATTATAAACTTACTTCTCCTAATTTTTCATATATTGCAACATGAGTTGTGAGAGCTTTTACTTTTTCAACACTTTTAAATAATTGATTTGAATCAATAATAACTTCTATTTGACCAAGTCCTCGTTTGGAATTATATGATATGTTTACCAATCTATGAATTATTTTTATTTTAAGATTGTTAATGGATGAATTTTCAATCGGAAGATCATTTAACCAATTCAGGCATAGGCCCATATTGAAACAAGAGGCAACATCAACATTCGTATCCAAATATTCGCATATTTTTTTAAATAAAATTTCAGTTAATGATTCATTATGACAACATATTATAGATAATTGAATTGTAAATGCAAGTCCTAATTTTTTCAAATTCGATTCCATGTAAATCAAAGGAAGTTTTATGAATATTTCTATTATCAATTCAAACGATTGTATTTTTTCCAAATTGTTAATAAAAATTTTTGATATTTTCTTATTACTCAAAAGTAATAAATTTAATTTATGAGTAAATTTTTTCTCATTACTTAAGTTAACGTTACAATCATCATCAAAGTATTCGCTGTTTAAAATTGATTCATTGAGATTTTCATTTTTAATTAATTTTTTAAAAATTACATTTACTTTATTAACTAATCCTTCAAATAAATATTTGTTAAACTCTGAATTTTCTAATAATTTTGGATTGGATAACCAATTCACAACTTTATCTTTATCTTTATATTTTAATAATTTGTTCAGTAATTTTTTAATTAATTTTTTTTTTTGTTTCGAATTCAAAACATTCATCAATAAAGTAATGTCCTCAACTTTTACAGATTCTAATAAATTTATTTTCGATATGTTTGAATTTAAATATGAAAAAATAATGTCTGCGTCTGATTCAATTATATTTTCATTGTCATCGTGTAATTTTGTTAATCTCATATTTTGAACAGCTATTTGAAACTAAAAAAAATTTTAAATCAATGTTAAAAAAAAAAATTCATTGATAGTATTAAAAAAAGTTTTAGAATAAAAAAATTTTAGGTAATGTACACCGATTTAAATAAAAAAAAAAAAAAATAACTTACCATCACTAAGTGACATGATTCGAATCCTTCTGTAAAATAATTTTCAATCAATTCATTCCATTGATTTTCATCAAAACATTTTTGCCAATCATCTTTAATATTAGTTAAAGATTGAGAGAATGTATCTTTGTAAAAACTTACTATAGAATATATTTCTCTGCAGTAAAAGCACACTTTTAAAAAGTATTCAACAATCGCTTTATGCTGAAAATTATTTTTTTATAAAATAAATTTATAAATAAAATTTTGTTATTATGAAAATTTTTAATAACTTGATTACTTACCTTTAAAATGAAATCTTTTTCTTTTAGTAAAAAATTTAAAAAATTTTTATCAATTGTTTTTAAATTATCAAGATAATCCACTAATGACTTAATTGAAATGTATGAAGTACTCGGAGCATACAATTTGACTTCTTTTAAAAAATTTATAAGAAAAATACATGTGATTTCAAAAACAAGAATGATATTATCTGCAACATGAACACTTAATTAGAAATTATAATAATATGTATTATTTAAAAACAAAAATTAAAATGTACAGTAACCATTTTTTTCTTCCGTAATAATCTTGCAGGATTCGTCCAATTCATTAACCAGCACTTTCATAAGATCTATGGAATGTTGGCTGGACAATGGTACTAAAACTCTGGAAAATTCTTGTAATGCTTTAAGAGGAAGTATTTCTTCTGTAGACAAGTCGTTAGTAGTGTTCTTTAAATTAGATAAAAATCTGCAAAAAGGATGATTAGAAAGTTAATATTAAGATAACATAATTTTAAATAAAAAATTTTAAAAGCTAGTTTTTTTTTTGTTTTTACATCATTTATAGAATCACTTTTCAGTCATGTAAATTAAATAATATGAAAAAATACTTTAGTAAATTTCGTTTACTATATTTACCGTTTAGTAAATTGGGCTAACCGTTGATGTTTCGAAAACGTTAAAAAAGATTTTTCTAAAAAAGTCACGTATAAATCAGTAAATCCATTTTCAGAAAAAACTTCTCTTTTAAAAATATTTAAAAATATATCATCTAAATTTTTTTCTAATGTTTTTATGTCAGAATCAATATATTTATTTAATATATCCATTTTAATTTGTACAAATACTTTAAGTTTAAGCAGAAGACTAACACGTGCTGTTACCTGTTGCCAACATTGAAAAATTTCAGTAAGGAAACCATTAAAACGTTTATTTTGGCGCGCAACTGATTCCCTACCACAAAATATTCAACTTATTTCCCAAAAAAAAATTTCTGATTTTAAATTTGTAAAAAATAGCATAATTCAAAAAAATTTAAACGAAAAATAAATTAAAAACATTTATTAAAAAATAATGTGACGTATCGTAAGCGTAACAATTTTTTTTTTTTTAAGGCTGCTTAAGCGAATTGTATATCATAAATGCTTTTTTTTTGACATTGATGATTAAAATTTTTAAAAGATTTTTTTTTTTGTGAAACATTTCTAAATAGTAAAAAGTAAAGCAAAAGATTTCATTTAAATTATTATCTCATGATCTCAAAAAAAAACTACAAATGGGGCAAAATCATGATTTTTACTATTGCAAAATGTAACTAAATATATTTTTTTAAATAAAATTATATATAAATAAAAATTTCTCTAAAAATTATTTGGTAACTTTTGTACAACTAACTACATAAATTAACCGTAATAATGTTTAATTGCATTTCAAATTAGGTTATTTCTAGTTATATTAAATTTTTAAAGTTATAAATAAATAAATTTAATTATCTAAAGGGCAAGGGATGTTTAATTCTGTAGATTCCAATTCAACATCGAATTCAGGTCCGAATCTGAAAAAAATAAACAAGTTAATAATTACATTTATTTAAATTTAAATAACGTTTAACTATTTAAACTAACTTTGAAAAAGATCCATCCTCTGCCGAAAGATCTAAAAATGGTTCTTCTGCCTGTAAATCTTCTAGAGATATTTGAGAATTTGTCGGATACAACATTGTATGTTGCATTAAATCGGAACTTAAATAAGGAGGAAGATTGTCTTCGCCCAAAGCAAAATCAGCATCATCTAACGCTTGATTTTCAACCATTTCAAGCCATTGAGAATTGTGAAATCGAAATTTGTCAACCATTATTCTTTTCTTCCATTCGTTACTAAATTCCTAAAATGCGCAAATTCTAAAACATTAAGAGGAAGAACACTAAGAAAGGCAACAAACTTTAAATATCATCTTACAGATATAATATCTAGGCAAGAATCACAGACAATAGCTATTTCTTTATTTTTATCCTGCATTAAATCAATTAAATAAGCAGCGGCATCAGTTTCTAAAATAAGATGATTCCTCGTAGAATCGTGACGAATAATCTGATAAAACATATAAATGATCTGAAGAACTATTTCGTCATCTTCTTGTTTGGCTACAAAAAAAAAAAAAAATTATTTTTAATATGTTAACTTTTAAATTATTATATAACTAAATTTATCAATTAAACCTTTAAGCAATTCGATTAAAGAAATTAAAATTCCTTCTTTGCACATTAACATGGCGCAATCTTCGTCACAGGCAGCGGTACCCAAAAGTATAACTATTTCTAAAACCATATCGTCTTCGGTTTTCCCGGGAATCAACATGTTTTTAATCCATGGTAAAAGTTCGAATTGTTGAAAAACTTCATTGAAATCTAATTCGGGAAGTGTTAAACATCCAAGAATTCCAATGCACTCCATAACAAACTCTTCGGAATCACATTGCGTGACTGCTTTGGCGATATCTCCAACGAATTCCTGTTAAAAACGTAATTTTTTTCCTTAAGGTAAATTTAATTGGTTTAATGAAAAAAAAAAAAAAAAAAAAAAAATGAAAAAACTCACAACAATGCCACGATTAAGAGGTTCGTGCATGGCTATGTTATGAATCATTTTCATGAGTAAAGAATCCTGATTTTTAAAAGCTCTTTCTAAAAATTTCTGTAGTCTGTCATCAGCAATCATTATTTCAGCATTTTTTTTATTTATTGCCAAATTAATTCCAAGAGCAATCACAAGTTTTCTAAATTTATTATCCAAAAGCATATTCATTATCTACAAAAAGAAAGATATTATTACAGGTAATATTTAAATATATCTTTTAAAAACTGCAAATTAATACTCGCCATTGGTATACACTCGGTATAAGCAAACATAGACTTAACTTTATCATCCATACTCAAATGATATAAAATACCCAATATAACTTCCTTAAAATCTTCTTTATCTAAAAGTTTTTTTTTTTTTTTTTTTATTAATTTTATTAAGTAATCATATGAATATTAAAAAAAAAAAAAAAACAAAATTGAAAAATTTGTGTACCCAAGTAGGAAACAAGTTTTGTCAATAAACCATTCATAACAATTCTTTCCCTTATCTCGGCATCAAAGGAAAGATTGTACATTAATTTAAGTGTCAATAATATGAGATCTTTATTTCCAATAGAAAATATTTTACAAAGCTTTTCAATAACGTTTGAATCGACCATGTCATCCTTATTTTCTCTAAATACTGAAAGCTTCTTAAGAAATTTAATACACGTTGTTAAGAGTCCCATTGAGTTACTTTCTAATAATTTAATGAGCATACTAGAAATGTTTCTTTTTCTCATTTTTTCTTCAACTTTTGTATTTTCCGCAATGTTCAATAATAATTGTACGCAAGCTTGAAGTAACTGATCTTGTTTATTTACTACTGTATCTTTTTGATTTTCATTAGATATTACGTTATCGTTTAATAAATCTAATTTAGAAAAACCTACTGGTGTTCCTGGCAAAGATTTTCTACAAAAGAACACGGCAAGATTTAATGGAAAAAATAACGGTTAGATAATATTTTTATCTGTAAATGTAGTTTGATAAATACCTAAAGTCTTCTTTGGAAGCACTGTTCTTACTGGCAGAATCTGATCTCCTTTTTCCAATTGGAATCATACTTTGTCTTTTTTTAACATCTTTTGAAGCAGGACTTGGACTTTTTTGAGTCGATGGCGATAATGCTTTTTTTGTTTCTAAGTTTTCTTGTTTTTTTAATTCATGATCAATAACTTCCATACAAAGTGATCCTATTTTATATTGTATAATAACAGGATGAAATTGACTGTATGAAGAAAAGCAAGAAAATATTTGAATGATGTTTGCAGCTAATTCTACATTTTTTTTCCAGTCTTCTCGTAAAACTCTTGATAAAGCACTCAGAGCTACTTCTATAATTTAAAAATATAGTTTTTTTTTATTTTTTTAATTGAAATACCTTTTTTCTTTATTTAGAGAAAATAATATTTCTCTGTATAGTTCTTATTAAAAATAAATTTAAAATAGAAATTTTACCATTCACAGCTATCTCTTTTAAATTATAAGGATTTTTTACTAGAGCAAGGATCATTGATGAACCCAATATCTTTTCATGAGTATCTTCATACAAGTATTCAATGTAAGAATCCATATTGGCTATATTAGCTTTTTCAATAATTTCAGCTCCCCAAGCAGAAAAAGAATCAGACATTCCTCCACTTTCTAAACAATAAAAAAAATTATATTTATTAAGATGACTTTCAGGCATAAAAAATGGTAATTATTACTAAATGTAAACTTTAATAATGTATGCACCATTATTTGAAGGTACATCTTTTCTGTTTTTAAGATATCGAATTAAATGTTCGACTTCATTAAGTTTTGAATGATGAATTAAACTGCATTTATCAACGACTTCTTTGGCCAAAGCAGAACAATCAGTTTTTGCATTTAGTGAATTTAGTCTTATGATTTTTTGATATTCTTTTTTGTCACCCAGCATGGGATCTCCCATTTCACCCAAAATAAGGGCTTCCAATTCATAATTGACAACCAAAGCTTTTTCGGTTGGATGAACATCAATTGAACCCGACCGAATTTTACTGTAAAAGAAATAACATAAAACAAAATTAATAACAATCTATTTTGTTACACAAATATATTTAAAATTCTAAATAATTATATCATTTATATTAAACATTAAAAATATTAAGAAAATTGCCATTAATACTTACCGTCTTAGGTACCTAGCATCGTCCGTCTGCATTTTAAAAAAAAAAAAAGACAAACAGAAATGCAACTGAATTAAAAATACATTTTATAAGACATTAATTTACTGATAATTGCTCTCATATTATAGCGACATGTTACGACAATTAAATAAAATAAAATTTTTTTTTTCGATAGAAAGATTTTAAGTTAACTTTATTTGTTTTTAAATGTGGCAATACCATCGAGATGTAGGCAAGCAACATTGAAATAATCAATAGTTGTCCATAACCCTTGAGTAATTCAAAATGGCACCTTTTGGAGGTGATACGGATAAAAATAAATCTAATCAATTAAAAAAAAAGGATGAATACGACAGTAAAGAAAATTTATGGTTGGTATTTATTAAAACATTAAAAATAAAATAAAAATTCATTATTTTAAAGTTATAATCTTTTATATTACTACACAAATATGCTTTCATAAAACGATTTGACAATTAAAAAATATTTGTGTTTTCAATATATAATTTACTCATGACGTGACATTTACTAAAATTTTAAAAAAAATTTTCTATCTTAGGTCTTGTATTTTGAGTGAAGTTCAAGCTCAGGGAAATACAAAATTACCGACTAATAAATCCGTTCTTGTTTTGGGAGATAATGGAAGTGGCAAAACTACTCTTGTTGCCAAGCTTCAGGGTGTGGAGGATCCTACCAAAGGTTCTGGTTTAGAATATGCATATATTGATGTGCGAGATGAATACAGAGATGGTAATTTTTTAAATATTACATATTTTTATCATTTTTTAAAAATTTGATTTAAAATTTTCATTAATTATTGTATATTTCATTGTCAGATTCTACAAGATTGGGAGTGTGGGTTCTCGATGGTGATCCTGGTCATTTAAATTTATTAAACTTTGCATTACCTAAAGAAAATTATCCTCACACACTTGTCATGTTGGTTGCTTCAATGACATCTCCCTGTACTATAATGGATCAATTGGAAATGTGGTCTGATAAATTACATAAACATTTAAAATCTTTAAATATAGATCCGGATGTAGAAAAAGAATGCAGACAGAAATGTAAGAGAAGATTTATATATCCATACATTATATTTCTTGTTAATTTTCAATTATTTACTCTAATGTTTGCATATAAAACACCTTTAGTCAAATTTTTTAGCTTTAATTTAAAATTTCTGCAAAAACTATTTAAAAGAAACTTTGATTAAAGTTTGCCATCTAAACTATGTTTTAAATTATGAATATGATTATCAGGTGCTAAGAAGTGGCAAGAGTATTCAGAAGCTGCAGAGGAAGGACCTAAAAGAGCATCAAAAGCTTTAGATGAAGAAGATTTACTACCTTTGCCTGACAATGTTCTTACAACCAATTATGGAGTTGATATAATTGTTTGCATTACAAAAGTAAGTATTTATAATTGACTATTTGTGATTTTTGAATATATTTTTTTTATATATTTGTATTTATTGAATTTAAAATTAATTTTTTAAACTATTAAGTTGATAATTAGCAATAAAATTTATTAAACGATTAAATTGCTGAAAAAAATGTCAATGTTTTTTTTAGACTGACTACATGTCGATGTTGGAAAAAGAATATGATTACAGAGAAGAACATTTTGATTTTATACAGTATCATTTAAGAAATTTTTGTATGAGTCATGGTGCTGATTTATTTTACACTAGTGCAAAAGAAGATAAAAATTTAGATTTACTATATAAATATTTAACTCACAGAATTTATGGTTTGGGTTCAGCACCACCAGCTCTTGTCGTAGAAAAAGATGCTGTCCTCGTCCCAGCTGGCTGGGATCAGGCGAATAAAATAGCTATTTTAACAGAATCAATGCATAGTTTTAAACCAGATCAACCATACAAGTTAGTAATTATTAAAATGTTTATCTTAAACCATAGCAAATTCCGATTTAAAATGGGGTTAGTATTTAATTTAAACATATTGCACTTACAGTGAAGTTATTACTGTGCCCAAAGGAAGTAGAAAATCAGCTACCAAAGAAGTTGAATTACAAGCCGAAGATGAGCAGTCATTTTTAACGAAACAACTCAATCAACTTCAAGCAGGTCGTACGGATGCCGTCAAAATGTCTCCGGGTGTTCAAAAAACATCCGAACGTCGATTGGCAGGTTCTTCGGGAATGCAGAGTAATATTTCTGTCGTATCATCGAAAAAACCAGACGGGTATTTATTATTTCATTAAATTATTCTGTTTAAAAGTCACAATGTTAATTTCCATCTTCCCTTCCCTTTTTTTTTTTTTTTTTTTAGTATTAAGCCCGGTATTCCAGGCAGCGGAGAAGGTGTATTGGCAAATTTTTTCAATTCGTTACTTAATAAGAAAAGTCCCGGAAATGTTCCGGGAGCAATAAAAACCGGAACGGATGCAACTGTATCGAATGCTGATAAAGCTGCAATGAGATCGGATGCTGCTGCTGAATTAGAACGTTTATCGAGAGCAAAAAAATCAGATTCTAATTCATCAGATTGTTAAAACTAATAAAATTAATTTTTGAATTAAAAATAAAATGAGTATTATGTTTACTAATTATAACAGAAAGCTTTTTTTTTTTTTTCGTAATCTTATAATAGTTATTAAAATTCAAATTGTTATCGATGATATTAATTTCTTTTTCTTTATGAATGCGAATATTCAAAATGCTTTTCTTGTGTAACTTTAACCGTTATTTTTTCATAACTAAAAAAATTTTGTTATAAAATTAACTTAATTTAAAAAAATAAATAAATCAATATTATAAATATATATATATATATATAAATTTATACGATATAATTAAATAAAAATGAAAATAATAAATAAATTTTCTTACTTTTAAAAAAATGTTATACTTCCTCTTGCTGAAGGTGAAGCTTTAAGAAGTAAATCTGATTTTGCATAGTCAGAATTTCCTTTCATTTTTCTTAGTCTACTTGCTAATTCTAAATCTTTAAGTTCCACTTGTCTCGATAATACCTTAAAAAAAAAAAAAAAATTAAATTTTATTACTTCCCTCCCTCCCCTCCCTCCCCCCACAAAAAAAAATTTCGACAAACTTTTATTTCTTTTTGCAAACTATAAAGTTCGGCTTTCTTTTTAATATATTGTAATAAATCAGGTACGGTATATGATTTCATTAAAGAAATAATTTTTTGTATTGAACTTTCAGCTGCTTGGACTTCAAAACTGGCTCTTTCGTAATCGACTAACAATCCAGACATTATTTGTTCTTTGACTTTTGCATTTTTTTGCAAATCCGCTAATTTATTCATTTGCTCTTGTAATTTTTTCTTACTCGAATTTAATACATTCGCATAATTTCCATTAATTATTTTTATATCAATTAAATTACTTAAATTATCTTCTAATATTTCTTGACACAATCTATTTTCAATTTGAAGTTTTTCAAAATCTACTGCGTGTAATACTTCGCCTACAAAAAAAAAAAAAAAAAAATAATAAAACAAAAATTTGCCCACGTTAAATTAATAAAATAAAACAAAACCTATTATTATTATTATTATTATTATTATTATCATTACCCAATTCTTCCTTTTGTGCCAATTGATGTTTAACCTTTTTCAAATGAGTTTTTAACGATCCCGTTTTTATTCTAATTCTATCAAGTTGTATTTCTTGTGTTTTTAATCTAACTTCTTGATACCTAATAAATTTTTCTCCAGGTAATTTTCCAGTGATGGGATCTAAACCTTCAATCATTAATTTTTGTTCAAACGTTATTTGAGCTTCTTGTATCTCTTGAAGTCTTTCCGATATTTCCTCATTACGACACTGGTAAAATCACGTACGTAATTATTATTATTATTATTATCGACGGTAACGGAAAAAAAAAACCGTTTTTTTTTCCCGTCTTTTCGAAGTAAATAATAAACATATATTACTCTTAATATGTAATTAAATTTTTTTGCTTTTTTTCTGAAATTTTCTAATATCGTTCTTAATTCATCTATTTCTCTGTTAACTATTTTTATTCTTTGTGAATAATTTACTTTTGGACCCCTATCGTTTTGAAACAAAAAAAAAAAAAAAAAAAAAAAAAACATTTGTGATTTTGGATGTTTAACAAAAAAAAATACATAAATATATATATATATGTTTAAAAAAATGAATATTATTATTATTTATTTATTTATTTGATTTTAACCTGTCTGATAAACCGAACCAACTCATTTTATTATGTCTTGACGGAGTACTATATCCGGTACCTGAAGAAGTTGTTGTTAAACTTTCAGCATTTTTAACTACTCCATCTCTAGTTATGCTAAAAGTAGATGTTTTCCCTCCAATGTGTACATTTCTTTCTGCTTTTTGTATAGCAGCAGTTGCAGCTTCTAATATTTGATTCATTTTTTCCTAATAAATAATTTTAAAAAAAAACGGAAATTTTTTTATAAAATTAAATTTTTTAACCGTTGCAATAGAATTTAATTGACTCACCAATAAACTCGAATTCATTCTTCTTAAATATTTTTCAATTATCATATTTTCAACTTCCAAAGTATTATTAGATTGTTCTATAAACGTACAAAAATTAATCAAATCCTCATTTGACATTTGATCAAAATGAAATATTTGATCGTCAATTTCAGGTACGATCATTACTTGCATAACGGAAGCATCTTCGGGTAAAGGCTCCCATCGTGATTTTGGATTTCTTTTTTTACGTGACATACTCTACAAAAATAATAATAATTATATATATGTTTTATTTATCGATATATACATACATACATACATAATTTTAAACGTTAATAATTTTGTCCGTTCGTAGAATTAAAAGTAAAATTTAATAATGAGTGAGGCGAATTTGTTAACCAACAAAAACTTGTTTGCCTACCTACTACTTTACGAAAACTTCGTTTCCATGGCGTTTTTTAATTTGTTATTTATCATAGAGTAATAAAAAAAAGTAAACAAACATTTCGATTAGTCGCGCGCGATTTTTCTCATTTGATTATTCTATGACTTTTTGTAAAAGATTAATTTAGAAAAACGATAAGAAAATATTGTAATTATAATAATTATAATAAACGAAAATAGAAAATTAAGAAGGAGTTCAACTAATTACAAAAAAAACGATTTCATTTTTTTTTTAGTTAAACGAAATCAACCCAAAACGAAAAATTCCCAACAGAAACGTACAATTAATTCAACAAATTAAAAACCTTGTTATTTATTTATTTTTTTTTTTTTTTTTACAGTTAAAACAAAAAAGATGTACAGATACTGTTTATTATAATTACAATTATTAGAAAATCTGAAAGAAAAAAAAATTTTAAATATTAAAAAAAAGATGAAAATTAAATACAAGAATTAAATAATAATAATAATTTGTTTTACCTTTGTGTCACTATCATCTATTTTTTTTTTTTTTTTTTTAAATTTGTGTTTGAAATGCAATTTATATTATTTTATATATAAAAACAAAATCTATGTTAAAATAAATAATAATAATACTTTTTCTATTGATTTTCCCAATCTATTCTTATACAAATCTGTAAAAATGAAATTTTTAATTTTTTAAAAAAAACCATTAAAAAAAAAAGTAAAAAAAATATTAACTTACTCATGGTAACAAAGGTGGTTTTGGAAGGAAAATTATTCTTTCTGCTTGATTGTATAATTCCATTACAGTCTAAATTTAAAAAAAAAAAAACAACAACAATTTATAAATTAAATTAATTAATAAAATTAGTTAGAAAAAAACAAAGAGAAGAGATAGAGAGAAAGAAGGAGAAATACTAACATCTGTTAATTTCATATTTTTAATTTCTGGATATTCATATTTTAATAAACTATAATCTTCATCAGAAAACATATAACCTTTAAGAATGTCTTCTAATGCATCAGCATCAGTATCACAGATAACAGCAACACTTTGACTAACATTATCATCTTCTGAAACTTTAACAAAAACAGTTTCTTTTAATGCTTTTTCAGCTGCTCTTATTCTAGCCAATGGAGTTTTATATAAATCCGTTTTTGTTATTTGTTTTTTCTGTAATACCATCATCATCATCATCATCAATACTAGAACAACTTGATTTAAAAATAATAATAATAATGATGATTTAACTCACCCATGTTTTCCTTTCTTCAATTATTTTCTCAGCTATTTGACCAATAACAAATATTGGATGTAATCTAAGTTCTACAGGTGCTTCTTCAAAAGGTATTTTTCCTTCCAAAACCAAATTCTTTTCACGTTCCATTTCATCTGCCTGAAATAATAATAATAATCAAAATCTTACAAATAAATAATAATAATAATAAATTATTAATAATAATAATAATACAACCTCTCTTTCTTTGATTCTTTTTTTTAAACTTTTCAAATGATCTTCTTTAATTTTTTCTTGTAGTTTAATCATATATTTTCTATCAGTTACATGAACAATCCAACTGTTCATTAATTTTTCAAGTCTCGAACGAACTCGAGGTTCGTTGAATCTAACAAAAAAAAAAAAAGAAAAAAATTTATATTTAATATATTATATATATGTGTGTGTATGTATTTCCCCTGACTTAAATTCAATACAATTTCTTGTTTACTTATTTCATGTCGCATGATGAATGACGATGATGATAATGATGATGAGAACAATAATAAAAAAAAAAATTGTTATATATATACATAAATATATCAATGGATAATTTTTTTTTTTCCTTATTGCAAATTTTCCCCCCCCCCCCTTATTCGTTATAAAATTAGCTTTTGTCTAACATGAAACTAACATAAATTATTACTTTAAACAAAAAAATTTATGTGCATGAAAATTATCCTACGTTCGACTACTACGTATTTTATTTTTATTTTTTTTTCTATATAGATTGATTGTCGTTTTTACATCAAAATCCCGTAAAATAATAATAATAATAATAAACGAGTTAAACCTTTTTTTTATTTCTCCCAACCCTCATTCCCTCCTCCCCTATTACCCCATAGAAAATCCAAATTTAAATATAAAATAAAAACAACACGCAATGAATAATTATTATTATTATTATTATTATTATTATTATTATTATTATTATTATTATTATTAATATTAATTTATAAGTAATTATTTAAATTATTGATTTTATATTTATTTACCCATAAATTGGACGAAAAAAATCCCACCAATTTTTTTTTTCTTTAAGTGCCGGTAGTGGAGGAGCATAAATAACAGGTGGCGGTCCAGGTATTTCGGTTTCTTGTTCCCCTTCACCCTCGGGTTCCGGTTCCGGTGTTACATCTCTAAAATAATGATGTAGGGGTACTATTTCAACTTGACTACTTTTTAAATTTCTATGAACTTTGTGTACAAGGATGTAGGGAATAAAATCAATGTCTGGGGCTGCTGGTCCCGTTGGTGTTTGCGGTGGTTTTTCCGACGGTTGATTTTCTTTTTCGGGCATTTTAAAAAAAATTCAAAAACGATTAACTAAAATTTTGTAGAACAAAAAAAAAAAAATAATAATAATAATAATAAAAAAAGTAAAAAAAACAAAAATTTAAATATTGTTTATACGATTTCAAAGTGTCACTTTAATAATTTTGTACACATAATAATTTTATCGGGGCCTTATGAAATTTGAAATTTAAATAATAATAATAATAATAATAATAATAAGAAAAC